GGCCTCCCGCCACTCAAATTGATCTTGCCCTCCCTCTCTCAGCCCTCTGCCACCCCTGCCACACCTAATTCCCGAGTTCATCAATGGCGATAATGGCGCCCGAACTCATCCGCTTCTCCTAGCCCTATAAATAAGACCTCAGCCCCTTCCTTGTCCATCATCGATCATCACCAACCATAACCCCACAACCCCGAAGCCCTGCTTTGCCAATTCATATCATCAACCACTCTCGCCCATCGGTCGAACACCTTGTGCGCGATCGACTTTACACCCCTCCATCCACCCTCCACCCTAACCAACCCTTAGAACACCTATATTCAACCATGTTCTAGCTTACTAAAGCCTAACCGAAGCTCCGTGTCGAGTTTCACCTCACCGCACTGAGCCGAGCACTGTCGCTCCTGCTCTGCTCTGTTCTTCACCGCCGAGAAGTTTTTTCGGCCGTAATCCGTCGTCTCAGCCTATCTCGGTGAGTTCTTCCATTTTAACCATCTACATACCCCCTAGATTCCATTTTCGCAATAGGTTGGCACTACCATACAACCTCCTTGGCTGCCGACGTGCACACGACTGCCGCTAATGGAGGCGCTCGTTGGCAAGTATTTTCCACACCTTGCCAAAGGTCGGCAAGCTACCTAAATCCTTCTAGGTACCTCATAGATGCTCTAGGAACCCTCTCCGAGCCATGTCTAACTCTCACCACTTTGATCACCATCTCAGCTCATCCATGGCACCGCCACCCTAGCCGCTAGGCTATCCACACATCAAATTAATCCCTCCGCTGCCACTCGCCGTCGCCGGAGAACCCTAGCTACCTCCCCTCCTCGGCCGCAACCCCTTTCTCCCTCTATCGCCGCCGAAATCACTAACCCTAGCACCGCCGGCCGTAAATGGGGAACGGCTGGAGGTTGAAGAAGAGAAGAGAGAGAGAGAGACTGACAGGTGGGACCCGTACACAGTGCCATTTCACATTTAATTTGATTTTCAAACTTTAGAAGCCCATATCTTTTAAAATATAGATCCAATTTCAGTGAAACTTGAACCAATATTCTCCTAAAATCATTCTCTATCTTTTGAGACTACTTTTTCTATTTTTCTATTTTATTTTATATTTTTCCTATTTTAGGATTTTATTTGAATCCCTTTTTGAATTTAAATTTTATATGTCTAACCCTTGGCCTTGAGGATTCTTCTGACACACTAGATAATATCAGTCAATCTCCGGACATCGAGCAAGGCAAGTTACTATACATCTTTTGATCATTTAAGCCTATATTTTACAAATTATTTATTTATAGCCTTTCTGTTCAATACTCTATTTTTATGCATAATTCAACCATAGAAACCCAGACAATTTAGTATTGCTTACTCTGCTTACAATCTGGTTAAAATGTCTTACACTTAAATTGGGACAGTACGTTAGAATGGGATGATTTCTTGGTGGCTAGTACTGTCTCGATCGATATAGTTATTATCAGGTACTTATGTCAAACGAATGGGTATGACCGCAGTTTCTAGAATGGGGACAGACCTAGTCATTATGTTAATTAGCAATGTGGTACCTCTATATCATGGTATTTATTTTTAAGTCCTCGAGCAGGAGGCAACTATAGCCGCGAAGGGCAAATTTTACCATTACCATGTACAGGTAATTGGTTTATGACACTCGAGTATAATTATAAGTATAATGGTAATTCTAAACCCTGATCGAGATGACGTGGTGTCATACGATCAGTTCCCCTTAAATACCCCGGGAACGCCAGAACTGCTCTCACTGCTGTTAACGTCACGTTCAGAGCGCATGAGGATATAAGTTCACGGAACAGGTACCACAATTGTTAATAACCTAATACTGGGCCATGACTAAGCTAATGAAAATTGGCAAGTCGTGGACTACGGGTAAAGCGTACATCTGCTGCAGTAGAATATTCATGAAACTATTCGAATAGCCGTACTCACGGAATTGAGTACCGGGACTCATATGGTACCTTGGTTAGAAACCTAAAGTATATGTTTTACAAACTCTTGCTTTAATACTTCCATATTGTCTATTATTGCCTTTTGCAAAGAACTCTACTCTATGCCAATGCATAACATGTTTCCTTGGTAACTTGCTGAGTATTGTGAATACTCACCCTTGCTCTTATAACCCTTTTTCAGATTTGGGTCAAGAGGAGGACTCCTATGTTTATTACTATGACGACCCTGATAACTTAGAAAATCCTTAGAGGTTATACTTTCCTAGTTAGAATGTGTTAGAACTTCTGCTGTGTAATATTAGTACCTATGTTTAATTAGGTGAGTACCTATTCTTGTAAAACTCTTAGTATTGTAAACTTTAACGTATGCAATGAAGAACCAGCTGTATTATATGCATCAATATTTACTGATCCAGGGATTGATACATTAATCTTAGTCGGATCTAAGTCTTTAGTTTTGGGACCCGACAGGCGGCTAGATTAGGGTTAGGGTTAGGGTTTTGGTTTTGATTTTCTTTTTTTTTGTTTCGATTTTCTATTTTCCCGTGTGAGCGGCTTAAGCGCCCGCACGCGAAAATCACGATTTTCGCAGACCCTTCGTTCCAGACGGGCGAAACAACCGCACGCGAAAGTGAGTTTCGACCGCACGGAAAAATCGTTTGTGTAGTAGTGATCAGACAACAGCTATTTGAACGGACTGAACATCTTTGTCGATGCTGGATTTGCTGGGTAAACACGCGATTGATACTCTTGGCCCTGAACTTTGTGCCCCTGTTTGAATGTTCCATGCTTTTGAACTAGTCATTCGAGATCATATGGACATTAGTTAAAACAGGTCTCCGATATATGTTCAGAAATGAAATGATGCGCAAGTGTTTTGCGTGTTCTCAAAAATATATGTTCAATAATGTAGGGTAAACAAGTTGGGTTTTTAATGTTGTCTCAAAACAAAATTTTGAATTTTCATGTTGATTATCGTGTGTTATGTGGATTCTCAACTTGATACCAGCAAGAGACCACCTAAGTCATTGTGTGTTTTGTGGATTCTGATGGTATCTGCAAGATTCATTGTATTTTTGTGGATTCTGAAAATGATATCTGCAAGGCAATGCCTATTCTTCTCATTGTGTGTTTCATGAACTCTGAACATGATACCTGCATGAGATTGCCTATATTGAAGATGAGTGCTCCGGGTATCAGCGTGACATCGACCCACCGATTGTCAAAGAGGACTTGCAGGCCACCAGTTTGATCCTAAAGGAGCACGGTCAGGAAGTTGGAGTCCGAATGGCGTGTTGTCCTGATGGCGATCTCAAGCTGGGGGCATAGAGGGTAGTAGTGGCAAATTATCATCTACCCCTGCTTGGCAGCCTGGTTGCATCCAGGTAACTCTACTTAGGCCCAAGAGCCTCTGATAGCAACATGAACAAGGTGTCTAGCAAGCCCTCGATGTTGCTAGCATACCCAAAGAAGAATCCCTGCAAGCACTCATTTTTCTTTTGTCAAAATTTGCTACAGGACATCCAGAAAACGTGTAATTAGTTGGAGGGCATTGCAAGAACGAGTATTTTCTGTAGGGCATCACAAAAAACTGATAATTAGCTACCAGACACTCACGACATTATTTTATTATTTCCAAAGAAAATGGAGAGAGAAATATATGTAAAAGTACGGTTCAACCCTTTTTCTTGTTCTCTCTCCTTCTCCACTCCTTCCTTTCTTCTTCCTCTGCATGGACATGGTGGAACATGGTGGAGCATGGCATCGAGCCCGACAGCTACATGTTCCCGTTCATCTTCATAAAGGCGTGCGCCCAGCTAGGGACCTTGCAAGAAGGGAGACATGTGAGAATTGTCCACGCGTTCTTGTCGTCCATCACGTCGAACACCACCGTCACCTTCTCGATGCCATGGGCACCTAGGTACGCACGCCAACCATGGAGCTCTCGTCAGGCCTCCATCTCTTGCATACCATGGCATCAAATGACTCGACGCACTCTGCCCAGAGTTCGACCCACGTGTACTCCACGAGGAGCGTGCTCTAGGAAGTCGTCGTCCTCTCATCGTCCCCCATCTGCTCGAACGCGCGAAGAGAGGATTCCGGGCAGCGGCAAGCCAGGGCTAAAGGGGAATTTGAGAGAGGAGCTCTGGGGCATGCTATTTAAAGGTGGACGAGGAAGAATCCGACTCGGATGCGGCGAAAAAGAATTAGGAAAATTAGGGTTCTTCGTAGGTAAAGGAAAGCTCGAACTTTACTCAAATCTGAGCGATTTAGATTGGGATATCAAAGGATTCTTGAGGGAAATCGAAGAGGAAAGTGAGGACATCAAATCCCCTCAACTTATTTTGGAAACGGGCGAGGGAATGGATCGGATTTTGGAAGGGATGCAGTGGCGTCGGGCGTTGGAGAGAGGAGGACGACAGCATTGTGCGCGGGCCCACATGTCAGCTGCATCGAGAAGAAAGGAAGGAGTAGAGGGGGGCATTCCCGTCATTTCAAAATTTCTCTCCCCTCTTTCAGCCTAGAAATTAGAAAATAGTGCCTCCGGTGTCCTACATCCAATTACACAATTTTGTAGTGTCCATCGATAGTGTCACGTTTTTCAGTGTCCCTCAGCTAATTACACGATTTTTTAGTATCCTGTAGCAAATTTTGCCTTTTCTTTACAAATTTAACCATATATAGGGGGTGACTGGTGACTGGTCTGCATCAGATATTCAGAGGACTGATTTTTGCACAGTGTATGAAACAACGACAGCCATTTATTTTTTCTGATCAAGAGAGAAACCCCTATATTTCCACTAATGGAAATCAAGTACTCTCTCCGTATCATATTACAAAGCGTTTTGAATATTTTTCTAGTTAAACTTTCTTAAGTTTAGAAAAATGTATAGAGAAACTTAGCAACATCTAGACCACCAAACTAGTTTCATTAAATCTAACATTGAATATTTTGATAGTATGTTTGTTTTTTTGTTAGAATCGTTTCTATGTTTTTCTATAAAGTTTGTCAAACTGACAAAAAGAATTAACTAAGAAAAAAGTCAAAGTGTCTTATAATATAAAACGGAGATATGACTACTGGGGGAAACATTGTACTAGTATTTTCAGTAAAATAAAAATGAAACAGAGGGAATAGTTCTTACAAGGGCATAATGACTTAATTAAGCTTAGCTTACAAAACTTAGAACTGATATGGCATAATGAGAATTTTCAGTACCTATTTTGAGATGAACAATACACTCATGTTTTAGCTAATAGTAGTGGTCATTGGATTCTTGTGATTATTTTAGTCCAGCCTAATAGTGGAACAATTGAAAAGTAAAAGTTATGCAAAAAAATGTGCTGTACTCATCTCATTGAATATGTGTCATTACATATTTCTTGCACCAGACCAGTAGTTCCATGAGAAGTCCATCTTAAGAGTAAGCCACATCATTGCTTATGGGCTTTTGGCCCAGATAAGTCATACGCGTGTGCTCAGAACAAAATACAAGATGAGAGAGTGATGCCGGTTTTATCCCACGCGCCTTTCCATTTTTGCATGCCACCCATACAACACAAATACAACCTTCACAATTTTCTCATTGCTTCCCTCTCTCGCATTACCAATCAACAAATCCTCGTGCTTGTTGGTAGCATCCCCAAAACCCTAGCGGCCGCGCCACTTCGTCCCCCTTGCTTTGTGCCGAACATGGAGGGCGAACCCTCGTGCCGCCTCTCTTTGTTGGACCGGTGCGGTGATGGGAGCGAGAATCCGGTGGTTCCACCGCGAGTCCCCTCCATCCTCAACCTCGCCTCCCACAAGTGCCTCGACCAATCGAAATTCCTACCGTTGATCCACCCTGCTCCTGCCCACTTCACCTCTTCGACGGTATCTGCCTTGTCCCCCTGCTCGGAACCACCACTATCGGCTTCTATGGTACGAAGTTGGCAGTGGCTTTGCACCCGAAGACTTTTACTTGTTCTTTCCTAATACTTTTTTCTCAGTGGAATCCATCGTTCCACCTCCATATGATGCCATAGATGTGCCACCGATGACCTCTCTTGCACTGCATTCGACGAGATCTAACCAGGGGCCGCCTAGCAGGCTACCGCTTATGGTGGGGCATAGGCGGTCGCATAGTTACATCCTCTTAGGGTATTCACATCAAAACCCGCAAATGCTACCTATAGCATCAGTTAAGACAAAGGTCACAACGACCGAGGGGCATCAATCGGGGGGCATGGTGGCTGCTGTCCTTAAGGACATGGGCATACAGGCATGGAGCCCTTCTGGAAGCAGAGAGAATGAAGCTAAGAGCTCTGGTGCTGGCAGTACAACCCACCATTGCCACAGCTCGTCGGTTGACAGCTTCATGATGGGGAACCTCAATTTTGGAGCTGTTGGACAGCAGATGTCCAGCCCCCCTCTGCTAACTATAGAGGCAAATGGTGGTGAAGGCGAGTCCATTGCCAAATGTGAAATTCACTGAGGATGATAAGAAGAAGGTTGTGGCGGATAAATTCCTCTCAGAGATTGTCTTGACTGATCCTAGGAGGGTCAAGAGGTGTGTGAACTTCAATTCTTGTGTACTAGTCCGTGCATGCGGATTGATAGTTTGACACAATGTTCTTTGTTAGTGAAAATCACCATCTTATTGTAATTTTTTCAGGATCCTGAACAATCGATCATCTGCCGCAAAGTCAAAGGAGAAAAAGATGAAGTATATAGGGGAGCTTCAACACAAATTCTAGGTGTTGCAGTTGGAGACTGCTACATTATGAGCACAAGTGGCAATGATGCAGGTATGTTATTAGAAGGTGTGGTCATTTTGATTCGGAGTTTTCACAATCTTAGTAATTTTTTATATTGTTTGCAGAGGAACAACAATGGACTTGTATCTCTGAACAATGAGCTAAAAACCAGACTGCAAGCAATGGATCAGCAAGCACAGTGGGGAGATGGTAACTCTCTTTCCTTGTCTTTCAACATTCATTTGTTCATTTTGCAAAGTAGTATCATGCATGTTTAAAGTATGTTGTATTGAATATATTTCAAGAACACAAATGCTTTTCTTTAGAAACTGCATTCATCAGGCATCACGGTAGTAATGTATAGCATCTACAACAACAGTACATCCTTTAAACATTCAGAAAATGTGCATGTATTTATACAATTGTAAAGAAAATGTCCTTTTTTGAATGGGTGAGATTTGAGAATTGTTGATTTCTTATAACAAATTTGTCTTACCATATGTCAAGAACTTGATTCGGATACTATGAGTGGAAAATGTGGTTTGCACAATTTAATATGTGTGAGAGAAGGTAGCACGTCAAAGAAAAATTAAGATTGAAAGTTAATAGTATAAAGAATGAACAAAGAAGCACCAAACAAAATATTGTATTATGCATTTTATAGTGGCTGTTATTTAGAGTAAAAAAGACAATAGGGTTGTAATAAATCTCCACTTACTCAAAATGGATGGATAGACGTCATGCAACTTATTCCTAACATGACATCAAATTAATTTCCTTAATATTGTTACCTAAATCGTTTAACCTTCATAATAAATGTTTCTGGCAAGAAAAGGAGAGCACAACCATGAATCTTCAGAATTTGGCTCTTCATTAGCATCAATGAATCCTTGAATACTAGGTACAGAACACCCCAGGTTTCTTAAGGAATTTATTTTAGGTCCAACCGACAGTTCCTATATTATCAAACATATCATAACTTATATGTCAACCATTGTAGGAAATGTATAGAAGAAAACCTAATCGCATTTTGGCTAAATGTTGTACCAAAAGTATCAAATTGGTGGACATAAAAGGCAATAATCAAGAAAATAAAAAGAGAAGTGAATGGGCTACTTTTATGATGTATCACCTCTCCTAAAATCAACCCTCCCAAATCACTATGAAACATGGTACAACTCTGCCAACAGAAAGCATTCAGATTTCTTGTGTGCACTCTTCCTATGTATAATAGTTATAGATTTTGTCAACTTATGTTGATCTAACCAGTATTTCAAATCAAAGCACTTCAAGTAGAAGGAGAAGTATAAAAAACAACATTATTACAAACGAATCTGTAAGCGGAAGGGGCATGATTATTGAAGATTCTATGCAGCTTTACCACTTGCGCACTGAGATAGCACAAAGACGGACATATCAACCTGGCAGTTCAATACAATCTAACATGAGTATGTAATAATAAGAAATAAAAAGGTTCCATTGTTTTAGTTGGGTTGATGAAGTGTACATGACCATGTTACAAAAAAAAAAAGGATGGGTGGCCAAAGTTACAAACACAGTACTGGAAAAACCATCTTTCGTGGGTTGGCCAAAAAACCGTGACTAAAAATCATTTTTCATCCCGGTTCAAAAGCCCAGGGGTACTTTTTGATAGATCATTATTAGTCCCAGTTCAATAAATGGCAGGCGGTGTCAGACCCCTCTACTATCTTTAGGTCCAGTTGGTGTTACCAACTGGGACTAAAGATCTAATTTTAATCCCGGTTGTTAAACAACCGGGAAAAAAAGCCTTGAGCCGCGCGCGCATGCAAGTCTGGTTCTCTCTCTCCATCCTTATTTCCTTCTCCTCTCCCATCCCCCATCCTTATCTCCTTCTCTCCTCCTCCCCTCCTCCCCTTCTTCTCTCACTCCATCTCCTCCTCCCCTCTCCTTCCCTTCCTCCCCTCCCCTCTGGCAGGCGGCGTGATGGGAGGCCAGCCAGTGGCAGCCCAGCGAAGGCCGGGTGCGGGGCGGTGGCCTCGCCCTCCCCTCCGCCAGATCTGGCCAGAGGAGAGGCGGTGGAATGGGTGGCTGGCCGGCGGTGGGATGGGAGGCTGGCCGGTGGCCGGGTGGCACATGACGATGTGGATTTTGATTTGTTTGAGTTTTTCTTGATTTTTTTTGATGATTTGTGGATGTTGTTGATTTGTGAATGTATATGTGAATGTGTTTGTGAATGTTTATGTGAATAAATTTCCGATGATGTGCTGTGAATGAATTTGTGGTGTTGTGAATGAATTTGTGATGATATGTGTGAATGAATTTGTGATATCTGTGCTGTGAATCTAAGATCATGAAAGGAGGAAAAAAAAGAAAAAAAACCGAAGGAGGAAAAAAAAGAAAAAAACCATAGTCCCGGGACTAAAGATGGTTGTTCCCAACCGGGACTAAAGATGCATCTTTACTCCCGGGTATTTCAACCGGGATTAAAGATAGCGATCTTTAGTTCCGGAATCTTAGTCCCGCTTTGCAACCCGGGATTAAAGGGGGTTGCAAACCGGGGTTAAAGAGGGTTTCCGCAGCAGTGACATGACTAGTATATAGGGGTAAAAATGGAGCAGATTCGGATGGATAGTGGTCATACCATATCCTAAACCATATTTTCTAAACGGATTCAGAGCGGCTGAGCGGATTGTTTCAGATGTTGGAAATGGTGCGGACTCGGTTCAGAAACGGATTAAATTTGTTGGATGTTATGTGTGTATGCAAGCAATATACCATCGAGTTAACAATGCAAGGGACAACAATGCAACAATCAATGAACGACCCATTGTAATAATTATGTGCTTAAGTACTAAACAAACATCATGAATACATGATATCCATAATATAAAAATATAGCTAAGCAAGTGTGAGATAGACGGTGAAAGCCTCGGACTAAGGAATCTAGGTTAATTGATGAATTGGGCCATTAGATGTGCTAGCTCATGTTATATGTAACAGATTGAGTGGTTGCATGGGTTGATAATTTTGGATTATCCAACAAACGACTTATAGGATAATTTGACAGAAATGTCGGATAATCTGCATCCGCCAGATTTTAGAGAGACCATATTCGCTAGATTTTTAGAAACCCATACCATATCCTTCTTTCGGACGGATTTGGAATGGAGCAGAGTGGATAATATCCGATCTGTTTTCACCCCTACTAGCGTATCCAGTGATAATTATTTGAAACCAGAGAAAATACAACACTGGGCCATCTTTGTAGCACAGGTGTTAAAAGATAAATTATGTTGAGAACACGAATATGAATTTTGTTTGAAGATACATTAATAGGAATTAGATACTGAAGGTTGAGAAACATGTATACTCCCCAATCAGCCAAGAATTCTTCAGGGCGAATCTTTAGGCCCTGCTGCCATGCATGCATATATCAATACCATTTGCATCAGTAATCTGGTCCATAACATTTTTGTCTGCTTTACATTTGTTGTCTACTTTTCTTGTCCAGCTCTGACTGCAAGATTGACTGCTGAGGCTGAGCACCCAAGAGTTGTTGTTGGTGAGATCAGTGATCCTCATGTGCCAAGTGGTTCACACCAACAACAGAGCTCTTACATGGACAAACTGCAGCAGCTGCTTACACAGAGGCAACCATCACAAACCCAACAAAATCAGCCACAATAATATGTGGAACTTTTAGGGTGATTTCTCATTAGAGACTTTTGAAAGGCTTATTGATTTTTTTTTTGCTAAATGTTGAGTAATACATGTGTGGAGACTTTCAATGTACAACTAGAAGATACCCCGTGCGTTGCTGCAGGATTACAGAAGGTTTATTCAGAAAAAGAAGTATAGTTTATAAACTATATTCAGTTATTCACCAGCAAGAAGTGTGTTACCTTCAGTATTTTAGGTTCAGAATTAGGCTTGATTGGAAAACGGAAATCTAACATAGCCTACATTTCATAGTAGAAAACGATCATGCCAATAAGGACCAGGCCAGTATTCCCATGTGTGGAATTTGTTCTTGGTCAACACAAACAAAAAACTCTACACTGGAAGACAAGGACAGTGGCAAGGTATCCTCTATACTACTTCTATTATTTGTCTGCAGACAAGATCATCAAATTGCGCACATCCCCATAGTTGATAGTTGCGTACCTTAGAAAATCAAACTTCGCAGAAAGTGGATCATCAAAGTCTTTAACATGGCCGGTTTTATTTGTATGCATAGAGAAAAGTTCAGGCATGCAATCAATGCTAATTTTTGCAAGGAATCACTATATACAATTACTACCAAGAAAATTTAAACATTATTTACCCATTATTCACGCACCAAGCTAGGGACAAAGAAAGCCAGTTGGGATCACTACGGGTCCCACACCGCAGTGTTAGTGGCAGGCGTCATCACACAGAGGAACAATAAACAAGTGTACCGTTTGAGAGTCAAAACAGAGAAAATTTGGCATATTACCCGTTTTCTCTCTCCGTATTTACCCTCTTACTACGCCGTCCCATCAAAGGGTAGTTGGCTTGCCTTGTTGTCGAACCCGAGAAAGGCAACATGGGGCAGCGAGAGAAGTGACGGGTGGCAGAAAGTGTGATGATGGCTGTAAAGGTGAAGAAAGTTAAGGATAGAAGAAAGCACAGAAGAGTTGAGACATACATGATAAACATCTAAGAAGAAAGAGAAGATCGTAGAGACGTATATCTCCAAAGAAGAATAGGGACACGTGCCCAGCTCGTAGCCGTCCGTAGGCCGGTTGCCTGAGAGGTGATAGGTGGCAAGCCACCTCGGGTGGAGTAGGCCTAGCATAAGTAGTTGGGCATTGATGTGTGGCAGTGTGATCAGCTCAGGACCATCCACCGCCTCACTCCCAGCAGGTGACAAATGGCGGCCCTTGAGGTCATCGCCGTTATCAACCCGATTACGTACTAGACATGGCATTTGTTACCCTCCAAGCCATAGGCAGGGGAGAGCTTAGGAGGCCCCGTGCACTGACCTCTAACCTATACGACATGCTAAGGAGAGTAGAGTTGCAACTATGGTATATGAAATCGTCATGATTAATTGTTTGCAGTGTCCCTATTGCTTGTCTCTCTAGAAGTCCATTAAGCTTTGGAGAGTATATAAGCAGGAGGGGGTTCCCCAGTGTGGGGGTGGAAAAATTTTCAAAGGATCCAAGACACATCGGAGTTGGAGTGTGAGTTGTACATTTTTTTGCTTGATATTCCAAAAAGGGCAGCAGTAGGGTCATTTCGGATTAGGTCATATCCCTAAACCCACCAAGAAACACCGGGTTCGCTGGATTTGGTTCTGTTGGGCATCGCCCGTCAACACCATGTAAAAAAATAAGGCATGCCACACATAAACTAGATGGAGAAATTGATGGATGCACAAAACAGATACATAGATACAATGTTTGCAAAGGAACGTGCGATGTGGAAAATAAGCCAAAATCGCCAAAGAAAAAGAGCATACAAAACCAAACGTTTTATAGGGAGTGCACCGAAATAATAAAAACTTTGAACTATCAAATAGGATATTATCATGATAGTCACATCGTTGGGAGATTCATACACATGTTACATATACAATCATCATGAAAGGTCAAGGCATAATAAGCTAAGAAGTTACAAAACTCATAATGTATAGCAAATGATACTACCTGTATCAACAGGGTCCAAACAGACACTTCTTCCAGAATTGTTTTCTGAAAGTAATTATCTTTTCTACTCTATTCATAACCGAAAATCATTTATAGCCTTTTTGGGACCTAACCCGATAGAGTAGTAATGTTCTACATAATCTTTGACTAGTGTTTCTCTATACAAAGCAGGACTATCATCGGACAGTAGCTCCTTGATCGGGCCGAACATCCTTGTTGACGCTAGATTGTTGGGAAAACACGCGATGGATACTCTTGGCCTTGAACTTTGTGCCACCACCCTATGTTCCACGCTTCTGAACTTGTCATTTGAGATTATCTGGACATTGGTTATATATATTCAGAAATGAAATGACGCACATGCGTTTTGTGGGTTATCAAAAATATATGTCCAACAATATAAGGTAAATCAAGTTGAGTTTTCATGTTCTCTCAAAATAAAAAAATGTTGATATTTTTATGTCCATTATGTGTTGTGAAGATTCTTGTTACAAAACCGACCCAAAATCACCATCGATAACCAAACGTGGAAGAGACACCATTGGAGATCCAACTTCCAAGGACATTGAGGCATAATATTTGTTAACGAGGTTCCGCTGAAGCCTGTGTCCCTGGGACACGGATTACGGTAGATCCCCGGCCGAACACCACCGGAAGCCATTCCCTCTCGCCTATGCTAAGTCATCATACGGTTACAATAGGCATGCCTCTCTAACTAAGAGAGCCTAGGATAGAGTCTGACTCTTATTTTATTCCTATACCTAGTACAACTTCAAGTGCTAAACTGTAACCGACTTTGTACACATATTCGACCGTAACTGACAATTATGAACATGATACCTGTAAGAGGCCGCCTAAATTCATTGTGTTATGTGGATTCTAAACATGATACCAGCAAGAGACACCCTAATTTCATTATGTGTTGTGGATTATGGCAATGATATCTGCTTGATTCATTGTATTTTTGTGGATTCTGAACATGATATATGAAAAACACTGTTTAATTTCATTATGTGTTTTATGAACACTGAACATGATACTGTTAACAGTGAAATTTGGTAATCGGCAAAGACGTCATCGGCTTAGAATCAGTATCGGCTGCAGCATCTCGGAATTAGCCGATTGGAGTTATCAAGTCGCCAATAGTCGGATTCTTGCTATATTCGGTTAAGGAAATCAATCTACTAAAGGAAGCTTATCCCTAAGTGACCGAGTTTAAAGAGGATGTGGCATGGCAGTTTATCTATTAATTAGGAATAGTTTGTTAGTTTCCTTTTATCTTTAGGAAAGTGTGTTTAGTGTCCGATAAGGACTTTATATTTTCCTTTTATCTTTAGGTTAGTTTCTTTCTTGTCCGACAAGGACTTGTATCAACCCATGGGTATAAATATGTACAGCCGGGGTCTATGTAATCTATCGCTACGATCAATACAATTCGGCGCATCACCAGTCCTCCACAACAACCGGTGGGTCGATATCACGCCATTACCTGGAGCATTCATCATCAATATAGGCGATCTCATGCAGGTACCTGTTGACGAAAAAATCAAACACACCGGCCTAGGAGATCTTCTTAGCTCCAGTGCAGGTCCAAATATGATGAGATGCGGGCATGCTAGTCAGTTTGATCCTGCAACTGACAAGATATGCAAATAGTAGATCAAAACAGTCAATCGGCTGACAAGCCGATGGAGTAGTTCCAGCCGATAGCCGATAATAGCCGATGCCGATACCAGCCGATAGCGATAGGGTTTAAGCAATCGGCTATCTGTCCAATGTAGATAATGATATAAAGGCAATCGGCTGATGATGATGTAATAAAATAACAATATAATCCAATATAAGCCAATCGGCTAGCAATGATATGATAAATAAGCATCGATCCGAAGGTTAAAGCACACATCGGCTGGAGGTCCGATGTCATGAAATCCACAAGATTAGATTAAACAATGAAACCTTTGTTGTCATCGGCTAAATCCAACTTATATGTATATGCAATCCTCATGAACCGATGCAACGTCCAGATAACTCAACGGCTGAAACCCCGATGAAACCCTTATTGGCAATCAATAAGCAGGCTAGAGATTATGGTTCTAAGCACGACTTAGTAGATCAAACTTAACTGGTGCAGTACTAAGTATGAAAAGAAACATAATATCTAGACAATGAAGCTGTTGACTGAGTTTTCAGGGTGGTAGATGTGTAGCTAATCTAATCTAGCAATGCGATTTAGCCTATACCGGTAGAAACCCTAAAACGAGAAGCAGCCGATAGAGCTAAATTGATATGCTAAGACTAGATTAACAGAGACATATGATAAATAGGTAGGCAAATATATCATCCAAACCAGAGCAATCCAAGAGGCCGAATGTACTGATGCAGCCTTGAACGACGCCGACGTAGACAATACAATTGCCTGGGCCGGCGGAACATTGAACTTACCCCTTAGCCGGAGATCGAACACCGATGCAGCCCCGCGTCAGGTGCCAAGTCCCGCCGGAACGTAAAAACAAAAGTAGTAAAGGTAAAAGGTGGCGATGCGCCGAATTGTATTGATCGTAGCGATAGATTACATAGACTCCGGCTGTACATATTTATACCCATGGGTTGATACAAGTCCTTGTCGGACAAGAAAGAAACTAACCTAAAGATAAAAGGAAAATATAAAGTCCTTATCGGACACTAAACACACTTTCCTAAAGATAAAAGGAAACTAACAAACTATTCCTAATTAATAGATAAACTGCCATGCCGCATCCTCTTTAAACTCGGTCACTTAGGGATAAGCTTCCTTTAGTAGATTGATTTCCTTAACCGAATATAGCAGGAATCCGACTATTGGCGATTTGATAACTCCCATCGGCTGATTCCGAGATGCTGCAGCCGATAATGATTCTAAGCCGATGACGTCTTTGCTGATTACCAAATTTCACTGTTAACACACACGTAGTGATATATCCGGAATTTCAGAATTTTAGAAATGGGTAGTTCAACTTACATACTCCCTCCGTTTCAGAATTTTAGAAAAATTCTTACATTCATATTGATGTTAATGAATCTAGATAGATGAATGTAGAAAATGCTAAAATGACTTACATTGTGAAACGGAGGAAGTACTTTTTTAAACCGCAAATATAGCAAGGACCAAATGTGCATCATGATATATTAATAATGGAGTTTTTTTTCTCTTTCCAAGAGTAATGTTTAGCTATGTATTTTTTTATGGTCCCCGGACCACTAGGACCACCCTTTGGACACATCTATCAGCACACGTGTTTCTTTTACAAAATTAACCATAGTGATGAGCATCAGAGATTAAGAGGACTGAATTTTGTACTACAGTTTATGAAACCTTGACAGACAGTCAAATAAGCTTGGCTCACAAAACTTAAAACTGATGTGCCATAACAGGAATTTTGAGTACCCATTTTCAGATGAACAATATACACATGCTTTAGTAGTAATGGTCATTGGATTCTTGCGATTCCAGTCAGTCCAGGCTAATTGTGGAACAATTGAGTAGTAAAAGTTATGCAAAATATATGGAACTCTTCTACTATTCTTCAAAAAAGCAAACGTTATTTACAGCCACAGATTTACTGGTACTAAAAAAATAAAAAGAATGGGGGAAAAAAGGAAAAGAAAAGAGCGGCTCTCACCGGCAGTATTCCGGCAGGTCACCGGCGGGCGGCGGGTCGGGTGCCATACGGAGGTAGAGCATGTCGCGCCAGTTGGCCGCCGGCGACTGGTACAGGTCGAAGTTGCAGTTGTACTTGGCGGCCCTCGCCGGGTCACGCGAGTAGAGCCGCGCCTTGTCGCTGCCCTCGCTGCCGCGACCGCGGCGCCGGCCACCTCCGCCGGTACGCCGTGGCCCGTCACCTAGAGGAATGCCCACTCCACCGCGGCGCGCCGGATGGTCACGACCACTGCCTCCCTGTCCCCGCCCGTGCCACCGAGGTCAACCACCGGGATGGACGGTGGAAGCGGCGGCGATTCTTGGCTGCTGCTCGGCGGCGGCGGCGGTGGTTCGGGGTCCGGGACGCGGAAGATGCTGGGGACGGCGGTGACGCCCGAGGCGACGAGGCCGTGGACTCCGGACAAGGTGGCGTTGAGCGCGCGGTGCTCGGCTTCGCGGTCGTAGGTGGCAGACATGGTGAAAGGCTTGGAGGGGAGCGTGGAATCGCCGCGGCGAGACGAGAATTCAAGCGGTAGGAAGAACGCACTGACGGTTGGTTGAGAGGGAGAAAAAGGACAATATGCTATGCCACTCTTTTCGTGTGGTTTCGACGAAATATCACCCATTAGAATGGCAATGATAAAATGCCACTTAATAGGTTATTTTTAGGATATTTTGCCACTTTAAAAAGTTTTAAGACCAGAATACCTCTGCTATGGACAGAGAGGAATGTGAGCGCCTGGGAGAAGGCTGAGCTAGTGCTCGCCGGTGGCGGGCGGCGAGCACGCGGGGGCGGACTGCGATGTGCGGAGGAGGGTGGCGGCGCCGAAGGGGGAGGACGACTGGGCGACGAGGTGGAGGTGGGTAGCGGCGGAGACGACGCATCACAAGGAGGAGCCGACGACGTGTAGGGCGGCATCGACGGTGGAAGGAGGATGGCGGCGCTCGCAACTTGCAGCATGTGTGCGCGCTCGCCGCCTCCAACGACAACGGCAGAGGAGGATAGAGCGGGCAACACCCCGTCCACCTTGTCACCCATCTTCATCCCAGCGTCGACACCACCATCGTCCTCCCCCGTCGCCGCTGGCAACCCTCCCCCGCGTGCTCGCAGCCCGCAACCGCGCTCCCTCGCATGCTCATGGCCTGCCGCCGGCGAGCACTGGCTGCCGCTCCCCTCTCTCCCTTCCTCTCTATCAACAATAGGGGTATTATGGTCTTAAAACTTCTCAAAGTGGCAAAATATCCTAAAGACAACCTATTGAATGGCATTTTATCCTTACCATTCTAATGGGTGGCATTTTACCGAAACCTCATGAAAAGAGTGGTATAATGTCCTTTTTCTAACCGAGAGGGAGGAAAATGGAGTTTGACTAACTGTTAGAGTGTTGAAGGTTGCGTTCGCTAGCTTGATTGGTGATCTGACCATGGCATCGAAGACGCGAGCGTTCCGCTCCTTCCAAACCATGCATCCAAGTTATCGAAATGATACTGAAGGACTATGTTGGTTAGTAGGCTGAACTATGAAAGCTTAAAACACTGCTTGATTAAGTCTCCCAGAGCTTGCTGGGTGTAGGGACATCGCATGAATAGATGCAGACAGGTCACTGGCAACAAGGTGCACAATGGACACGATAGTTGGCTTACCAGCCGAGCTGGTTGACGTTGTCCGATGTCAAGCAGCTTTCTCTGGTCGTCAAGTACATGAAGAACTTTCAGCTGTCTAAACTTTTTGCCTTCCATACGATTTTGCCGCAAGATGCATGCCAATGTTTTGCCAATGAAGAGTATTGGCAAGAAAGCAAGATTCCACCGTAGGGTCCTTATCATGCTGTAAGGCTATCCACGGCCTCTATTGTTGTGTGTGGCGCCACTATACACATCGCATTCGCCGGTGTGTGAGTGTGGTGTTGCGTTGTAGTGCTGTGCATGCGTGCATATCTACCTTGTAATCAAATTTTAAGTCAACTTGTGGTTTTAGATGTCAAAATTTCAGTTTTGTTTTCGACAATGTCAGGTAGTTCCAGTCCTACACATGTGCAACTTGCTTTGTGAGAGCGGGCAATGCAACGAGGCTGAGTGAGAAGAGCCGTACCATGATTGGATTAAGGTGAAATAAATAGCTATATTTGTGGTGTCATATTTTTTTTTATTAAAAACAGTTAAACTTTTTACAATACAAATTACATACATTTACAAGGTATTTATGTTATAAAATTTAAGACTGTATTTTTCAAAAATTTTCTACTGCACATTATATAAGAGAATTAGGATAAAACCATTGATTACCTACTTGAGAGAGCAAATAGCAGAGATAGGAAAAAGAAATGACTGCAATCAAACCAACAATGTGGCACCATATTTTTAACAAAACTAAAAAGTTACGGTATTATGTTGTCGGTGACATGGGATCAGGAGTATCATGACTAGAGGTTTGAGGCAGACACAATCGCACACGTGGCCTGGTACCCCCGAGGGACGTCGGGCCCGAGGGTGATGCGTTCGCCCTCCTCTTAGTCCCCCCGAGGGGGTCGGGCCGCACCCCCCTCGGCCCCGAGGGCCGAGGCGCCCCGACCCCTCGTGGGTTTTTGCTCCGCGTGTATGGGTTAGGTGAGCACAGTGGGGCTCACCTAACCACATTTATTGCGGTTTGGCTGAGCGTGTCACGCCGCATGTAACGCAGTGCAGTGCACTCGTTTATCCGGTCTGTGACCAGTCACAGACCGGTCAGATCGCGGGTTAGGTGGCGACAGGCGATCTGACGCACGCCTCGCCCCATCCCGTCAGGACGAGGGCTTCTAGGCGCTCGTCCCCAGCTGGAGCTAGCGTGTTACCTCCCAGAGATGGCACGTTAGTCCTGGTCAGATATATGCCAGGCTTCATCCTAACCATTACAGGCAAGATGTTGTGTGAAGAAGGGCGAGCATGTAGATTGCTAAGCTGACACGTGGTGGACAAGAATGACCGACGTGACTGGTCTGATACCGGTCATGTCGTCAGCAGACAGCCACGATTCCACGTCGCACCTGCTCCCGGCGAAAGTGGAGGTAGTTGTGGGCCGTCTCATCAGAAGGTGACTCGGACGGCAACTATACAAATCTCCGTCCATTTATGAAAAGGGGGGGGGGGGGGTAAGTCCCCACAAAAAAGAGAGAAATGGTGCATGTGGTATCCCCTTAAGATATAAAAGGAGGACCTTGCCCACTGAGAGGGGGGACTGGACTTTTCCAGATTAGAAACCCAGAACAAGGGAGAGGCTGGCTGATACTTTGTAGCTCCTTCATACACAGATCTCCCAAAACACAGGAGTAGGGTATTACGCTTCTCAGCGGCCCGAACCTGTATACATCGCCCGTGTCTTGTGTGTTTCCTGTCTCGCGAGCCTTCCACATACAGAGAGCTTAGAATCTCTCCATGAGTCCCCGGCCGAACCGGCAAAGGGGGGCCTGCGCGGTCTCCCGGTGAGGAGCCCCACGCTCCGTCATCTGGCGCGCCAGGTAGGGGGCTCTGCGAGGGATTTTCTGAGCTCTCGCACTCTTTCGTGTGCGCCAAGCTTTTCCTGTTCAGCCCAATGGCCAAGCCAGCAAAGGCGCACGACCTCTCCCCGAGTATGAGCGGTGACGACGGGGAGCCAAACCCACGCCGTCGAGCTCGTACTCCACCGCCCCCTCCACGCCAAAGTCCTAGGCGGGAGAAGGCGCTCGAGAGGGCCGAAGGATCCGCGACTTCGACACCCACAGGAGGTGGAGAAGGGCGGCGAGATGGGGAGCGTCGCCTCCTCGTCTACGGCGACGGCAGCACGCCCCAGGGCGCGCTCCAAGCTGCGGGCGCGCTCCTACGTCACCCGCCCGTCGCCCATGACCCGGAGTCTCCAGCCCAACGTTGGCTGGACGATGTGGCCAAATTGGTCATGACTGCACGGCAGCGCCTAGATGCTGGTGGGCGGTCCTCCGCCACCAAGGCCTCTGGTGCTGCTACCACCGGCTCCGCATCGTCAAGACGGAGGGCGCGGCGAGCGGCAGCCGCTGTTCGCCATTCGGCCGCCACTCCTTCGTCAACGCCTCCGACCCGGGAAGATCTGCTTGGGGAACCGGATGCTCGCATCAGTATCGAGCGCCGGCGTAATGGCCGACGTGCTCCCCACGCAACGGAGGGCGCCTCCTCGTCCGGAGTGTCACCTCACCACGGACGCGGGGATCAGCCCTCCGTGCCCCCGGTTGGTGGTGTCGGCTGTAGAGCCTTTGTGGCGAGCCTTCGGAATGTCCGTTGGCCCCCAAGGTTCCGGCCCACCATCGCCGAAAAATATGACGGGAGCGTCAACCCCGCCGAGTTTCCCCAGGTCTACACGACCGGGATCGAGGCCGCCGGGGGTGACGACAGGGTCATGGCGAATTTCTTTCCCATGGCCCTGAAAGGACAAGCGCGGGGTTGGCTAATGAACTTGCCACCCGCGTCTGTCCACTCTTGGGAGGATTTGTGCCAACAGTTCACCATGAACTTCCAAGGCACATATCCACGCCCAGGTGAGGAAGCGGACTTGCACGCAGTACAGCGAAGGGATGATGAGTCACTTCGCTCGTACATTCAGCGGTTCTGTCAAGTCCGCAACACCATACCATGCATCCCTGCACACGCGGTGATTTACGCGTTCAGGGGGGGTGTGCGGCACAACCGCATGCTTGAAAAGATCGCCTCCAAGGAGCTCCAAACTACCGCGGAGCTTTTTCAGCTCGCGGACCGAGTGGCTCGTAAGGAGGAGGCATGGACCTGGAACCCCTCCGGTTCCGGTGTGGCAGCTTCGGCCGCCCCCGGATCCGCCGCTCAGATAGGGCGGCGTGACAGGAGGAGGAAGAAGAGGTCAGCCCATACCGACGACGAGGGTCATGTCCTCGCCGTCGAGGGCGCTTCGCGGGCCACCCGAAAGGGGAGGCCTGCGGGAGGCAAAAAGAACGAGGCCGGCGCTCCCAACAGGGAGCGCCCAACCGGCAAGTGGTGCACCGTCCACAACACTTCCCTTCACGACCTCGCGGACTGCCGTGCAGTCAAAAGTTTGGCTGAGCGGACGAGGAAGTGGGAGGAGGAGAGGAGGCAGGAGCGCCGAGAGGGCAAATCCCCGGCGGTTCCTTCCGGTAATCGGCGAAGTGAGGCCAAGCAGAAGGCCCCCGCCGAGGACATCGATGACGGCGATGATGACCTAGGTTTCCAAGAGCCTGGGGCCACCATTGCCACCGTCGATGGGGGAGCGTGTGCTCACGTTTCTCGCCGGAGCTTCAAGGCCATGAAGCGAGAGCTTCTGGCCGCGGCCCCTACTCATGAGGCGACGTGTCGGGCGCGGTGGTCGGAGGTTGCCCTCACCTTCGACCAGACCGACCACCCACCGTGCGTTGCCCGGGGAGGGCAGATTGCGATGGTGGTTTCTCTCACCGTTTGCAACGTGAAGTTGGGGCGTGTCCTCATTGATGGGGGAGCGGCCCTCAACATCCTTTCCCCTGCGGCCTTTGACGCCATCAAGGCCCCGGGGATGGTGCTCCGGCCGTCCCAGCCAATTATCGGTGTGACGCCGGGGCACACGTGGCCGTTAGGTCACATCGACCTACCGGTCACCTTCGGTGGATCCGCCAACTTCCGCACGGAGCGGGTGAACTTCGATGTGGCGGACCTCAGTCTGCCCTACAACGCAGTCCTAGGGAGGCCCGCGTTGGTGAAGTTCATGGCGGCAGTCCACTACGCCTACCTACAGATGAAGATGCCGGGCCCCGGTGGCCCCATCTCTGTCCATGGCGACCTCAAAGTCGCGCTCGCTTGTCTGGAGCAGCGCGCGGACCACCTCGCCGCTGCATCCAAGCCCGAGGGTGGCGACGAGAGGCTTGGCGCTTCCGCCCCCGCCACCCCGAGGCAACGGATGATCACAGGCGACGAGGTCCCGGTCAAGGAGGTTGCCCTGGGCGACGGCCCGTCCAAGACCACACGGATCGGTGGTCTTCTGGACGGCAAATAGGAAGACGCGCTCGTCTCCTTCCTGCGGGCAAACGCTGACGTCTTCGCATGGAGACCGGCGGATATGGTCGGGGTCCCTAGGGAGGTGATTGAGCACCGTCTCGCCGTGCGGCCGGGCGCAAGGCCGGTCCGGCAGAAAGTGCGGCGGCAGGCCCCGGAACGTCAAGCCTTCATCCGCGAGGAGGTGGCGCGACTTCTGGAAGCCGGATTCATCCGTGAGGTCATCC